GACCAGAGTGATCTTCGGAAAGTACAGGAAACTACATCGGGGCACTCCTTGCATAAACCATCAAGTTCTACCAAACCTCCTTTCAAGCCACACCTTCCTTTCCCCACTGCCCTCAAGCCACACTGACTGCTTTCCTCAACTGCTATTCTTCTCCAGCATTGTGTCCCCACCCCAACCCCACCCCCCAGCCCCCTCAAAGTTCCATACTTGCAGCTCCCTGGGCACGGAGCACTCAGTGCCGTCTTCCCGTAGCTGGCTCCACCTTATCACTCAGGCCTCAGCTCGAACGTCAGCACCACTGGGAGGCCCTCTGACCACCCTATCTGTAAGAGTACCTCTCACCCACTTTCTATCTCACCGCGGTGTTGTTTTTCAGGACATTTTACTATCTGAAATGATCTTGGTTTGTTTTTTTTTAAAACTAGTATGTAAATTCCAAAAGACCTTGTCTGTCCTATTCCTCACCATTTATCATTGGTGCCTAGAACAGTGCCCGGTGCACAGTAAATGCTCAGCTCGCTGATCTCTGTAACAAGTGACCGGCACACTCATGCTGCAGATGAGGAAATGGGCCTGAAATGCTGTGGGTACGCATCTTGACCAAGGCCACACAGCTGGAAAATGATCAGAACCCATGCTTTGTGATGGTGGAAGGCTGAAGGGAGTCTTTGGATCTTTGGAGTCCACTTACGGTGTATGGTTGGCCAAGTCCTGCTGAGTCACAGAATACCAAGAGCTAGATTTTCCAGGAAGCCCTCCACTTCTGTAAACTTTCTGCCTGTCAAGCCCTGCAGAACTAATCTAGATTTGTTAAAGATGATCAAGGTCAGAAATTCATCTTTAGAAATCATGTTCCACCCAAAATATCCAAAGAGCTCTCTGGTCTTGGGGTTTGACAGCTGGACTCATTAATATTTCATGCCCTTGCCTCGATCTTTCTTCTGGCATTGGACAGTGTTTTGGTCAAAGATAAGGATCTGCACAAATTAATCAGCAGGACGTATCATTTTTGCCAAAATCAGGTATTTTACCATACTTTGTTGTCAGCAACACATCCTGCAAGGAAAGAACTAAAAGCTTGAAAGAAAATGAGGAGGAAACAAAAAGCACAAGTCAACCAGAGCTGGTAAGGAGGGCAAGACAAGTCCTCTACTTCTGCCAAAAGCACATTAGAGCCTCCTTCATTTTCATCAAAAGGGTCTGTTTCAACAGAGGTAAATCATCTTCCACAAACAGAAAGCTTTGCAAGGTCCTCAAGAGCCTTTGGACCCCCAACAGGTGCATGTAAGGACACATCAAGATAAACTGACAAAAGGTCAAAGTCAAGGATAAAGCCATGTAGGCATTAGCGTACTCAGGCACTAAAAATAATGGAAGGATTTTTTTCCTATAACCCCAGTTATATAAGGACAGATGAGGTACAAAGAAAGCTATGAGGAGGTGGTGATCTGTAGCTATGAATTCCACTGTGACAGGCTATGGCACTCGAAGAGTGCCAAACTCCTCACTGGGTAGGACAACTATCAGTGCATGTACCATGATTAATCATGAAGAATATTGTAAGATAAGCTGTTCCAGAAATACTAAACAGACTAGATAGTGGAATTCCGCACCTTATCACCAATAGTATTATAAGCTCTGAAATACACAGCAGGGAGAGATTCTTTCTCAGCACCAAACCTTTCTCTCATTCTTCATACATTGTTAGCCATGGTTTTATTATATAATAGGCAAAGTAAAGAATACACTAGGTTTCATTACAAAATACATGCAAATAAAGAATATTCCAAGAGGTTTTGACAATTTCCATGTGAGTCAGGAGAACGAACAGGTAAACAGATCATTCCCTGCTTGAAGACTTAACATACACCTGCTATTTAAGTAAAATAAATCATGCTTTTAAGGCAATCAATTCAGAATTAAACCAGTATTGTTAGAGGTTGATGCCTCTTAAGTACTTGATGAGTGGTATTTCTGCTTGGTGGCACTTACACATATATAGTATTTGGCACAGAGTTGGACACGCTGCAGATTTTTCTGGGGAGGACAGACTCTTAAAATAAGATGGGATATATCAGAAGTTGTGAAGAAGCACCCTATGAAGTAGCACCCAAGGGCACACATAATATGTGATCTTGAGAATTGAAATTCACATTAGCCAAATGTTATGATTGGAGAACATAAAGATAAAATTTCACTTCAAACACCTCTTGAGTTTTGATACCTCACTACACCCTGTGCGGGAGGCCTTTACTAGACTCAAATAGTTTGCTTTTCCAGAAGTAAGTGAACAGTTTGACAGATCCTTTAATAAAATGTTAGCAAACTGCTCACACCTAACAGCTATTGCAATGCAATAAATCAGAATACGCTGACACAAGAAAAATCACCTAACAGCACTTCCTGTGATAGGACTCTTCAGCTGCTAAGGTAACCAATGTATAGTGAGGCGCTTATCCTTTTCAATTTCAATGTTTCATCTTTATGGAGGACCAAACAATGCTTTGGAATCAGTTTTGCTTTTCCAGATTCGTGTTTGTGCAGTTGCAAGAACTTCAAAGAGTTTTACAAATGTCCTGAGGACATTACTACAAAGCCATTATTTTTGAGCAGAATTTAAAGTGTAATTTCCTTTTCAAATTCTATAGTCTCAGCTCTCCAGTCTTGTTTAGGGTGTATTACGTATTTCTGCATAATCTGAAAACACCAGCTGTAACATACAAATACACACCAAATACAAGAGTCCAAGTCTACCACATCACTAGCCCTCTTCTTCATCTCCTCTCAGGATACCATCCTCCGCCTAATCATTTTGTGAAAATTCCCAATTTTCACAGCTGGCTGCTCAGTTCTGGTAATTTGTGATTTGTTATTTCTATGTTTTTACTTTGAATTTAAGCAAAAAATCCAGTGTTCATCATATTCCATACTGTTCTCCAGGCTCCTTCCCCATATACTCTATTCAAGTTGTTCACTTAGATTTTCCTTTATGGGCTTCCTTTTAGAAAATCTGATCATGGGGTTGTACAATAATAAATGGCAACTGATAAGTGTTCTTAAAAATCTAGTTAATAAAAAATTTTTCTTAAAGGAGATTAACAATTGAAAGTCGTATGTATGACTGGGACAGCAGAATATGTACTGATATTCAGTGTGCAATAAACCAACATAACCCCAATGTGAGTTTATAAATTCTATTACAGTGCTATGTGATTGTTGTGTTACTGTTTTATTTTAGTTAGTTAGCTTTCAGGAATACTGTCATTAATTTTAAATACCGCTGACAACTATGTGTCCATGATTTACAAGTGATCTCACCCTTATGATAAACACCCAAGGTTATTACTCATTTTATATACTCACATATAATTTTCGGAAAATTAGATTCTGAAACATGACACAGCTAGTAGTAGAGAAGCGCTGGTATTCCAGTCCAAGTAGGACTCCAGAGCCCAGGCTCTTCCTCTCCCTCCACACTAGGCTATACCACATCTCATTTAAAACTCAAAATGCAGGGACGCCCAGGTGGCTCAGTCTCATTTCAAAATCAAAATGCAGGGATGTCTGAGTGGCTCAGTTGGTTAAACGTCTCCCTTTGGCTCCGGTCATGATTCCAGAGTCCTGGGATCAAGTCCCACAATGGGTTCCCTGCTACACGGAGAGCCTTGGCTTATGTGCTGGCTCTCTCTCTCATTGGTAAATCAATAAAATCTTTAAGATAAAAAAATCAAAATCAAAAAGCATACATGCAACTAACAAATCACTGAACATTAAAAAAAATCAGGGCGCCTGGGTGGCTCAGTGGGTTAAGCCCTCTGCCTTTGGCTCGTGTCATGATCTCAGGGTCCTGGGATCAAGCCCCACATTGGGCTCTCTGCTCAGCAGGGAGCCTGCTTCCCCCTTTCTCTCTGCCTGCCTCTCTGCCTACTTGTGATCTCTGTCAAATAAATAAAATTTTAAAAAAATTAAAAAATAAAAAAATAAATTAAAAAAATCAAAAAGCAAGTTTCTTACGCTAAACTGAAATTCTATGTTTTCTTAAGGTAAAATAAGAGAGAATGGGGCTTTTCTTCTTTTCTTCGTGGCAAATGAATACCTAATCCAAATACTACATTTACTAAGTGCCAAAGTTTTAGTTTCCTTTTCATCAGGCGGTTAAAAAAAAAAAAAGGCTTGAATATAGTCATTAATATTAATACAATTCCAAAATTACATAGCTTGCTTTGAAAGTATACTTTGTGCCCCATGCTATGAAGTGCTGATGTAAAATTATCCATAACCATTAAAAGAGGACACAGCATAAAAAGTGGTAAAAATGGTAAAGAAAGTGGTGTGGAGTAGCTGGCCCATATACTTGGTATTACTTTGTTTTCCTTTGAAGTTTTTGCTCAAAATAGAAAATGCTAATGTGCCATTTGGGGAAAATCCTTTTCAAATTCTCTAAGGAGAGAGAGAAACTTTAAAGAAAGTTTTAAAAAAGGACCAAGGCACATGCTACCACATGGATGAACCTTGAGGACATTACGCTAAGCGAATTATGCCAGTCACAAAAAGATGAATACTGCCTGAGTCCACTTGTTTATCTGGAGTAGTCAAACTCCCAGAAATAAAAAGTAAAATAGTTACGGGGTGGGGATGAGGAGTTGCTTAATTGTTATAGTTTCAATTTTGTAAAATGAAAAGGTCTGGAGACTGCACAATGTACACACACTTAATCTTCCTGGATTATTCACCTAAAAATGGCTAAGATGGTATATTTTGTTATGACTATTCTACCATAATTAAAAATTTAATTTTAAAAGAAACCAATGGATTATTTTTAATGTAATAATGATATTGTGGTTATGGCAGATTTTAAAAAGAAAACATTTAGAGGTACATATATGCAAGTTGATTGGTATTTGGGATGTTCGTCCTAATCTTGCCCAGTGAAATAAAAAGGAACAAAATGACCCTTCATAGAAGGGGGAACCAATAATAAAATTTCCTAATCAAGAGAATCATCTATCATGAAAATATTTTATTAGAGTTTAAACATATAAAATGTAACATTTTAGCTAGAACTGATAAATGTGACACATAACTTATTTGACTTGATAGAAAGCTGCTGAAAACCAGACATGGTTTACTGGGCTCACATTAGAAAAACTACATGGAGAAAATTACATGAACAGGCTAGTTTGCTATGAAAACAATGTATTTTTATTAAAGTAATTAAAAGTCAAAAAACAACAACAAAAGGGAAATTCCACAACCTTTGCAACTATATAATCTTTATGTAGAAAAACTATAAAGTAACAGTCTGGAAAGCAGCTCCACAATAAACTTAATCCTTACATCAAGGGTAACTAAATTATGGAATCCGTTCACCCAAAAGAAATTGTCTTGCTGTAAAGTATTTCAGCTGAGCTGATTTCAACTATATTATTCTCATTCCTGAAAAATTGTCTTTCCTGATATTTCGAATCACCAGAGATGTAACGTACAAGAGCCTGTTGAAGTAAAAGGAGAAAACAAATACTCCAAGCACAATTACATGTGAAAATGAATGAGGGCATTTTATCTATAGAGCTACAAAACTATATAAATAACCAATGATACACATAATCCATTTACACCAAAGCTCCATGAGGTGGTACTGAGTAAACACTGAGGCATTGAATTTTCAACAATGGAACATGGCTCACTCTGAACAGCAGCACATTCCCACCTTTTAGTCTATCGTCACAACACTTCCCCTGGGATCTGCATTTGGGGATTATCTAAGTCCTGGGAAGTTGATAACAAAAATGAAGAAAAAAAGCCAAAAGGCAACAAATTAAATACCCCCTACAATCTGTCTAAAACCTGCATGTGAAATATGAAGAAACCAAGCACTTTGTGAGCTTTTACAGTCATGTGTTCAACTTAGACTAGTGTCTTCGTTACTATCTGGACTGAATTTTCTGTAATTTGCTTTTCCATGAAAGTATAAAAGGAAAACGACAAAGAACAAAGCTCAAATTTCGTAAATGTACTGTCTTAGAAAAGTGGTACTATTTAAAAAAAAAAAAAAACAACCTTCTCTGTTGAAGAGATCACACTGTTGTGGTCATCAGAATAGCTTAAGCCACTTTGGCAATACAGGGATTTATCTGCTCTTATTTGTTAATAATCATAATGATAGGCTATTATCACGGCCACATAAATTCAGAATTTATGTGATCGCAAAGGCAAATGTGTAGAACACAGCTAATAAATTAAATCATGGTTGGAATCTCTTAAAAATATTTTCAAGACTATTAAAATCTGGGGGGAAAATACAGAAGTCATAAGCAAGTATTTCTTCTAAGATTCTTTAATTGGGATAAAAGTCTCAGGGTTAGCTCACAGGAATGGTCTGCAATAAAGAAAAATTAGGTCAGTGTCTAGTAATTTCTGCAAACTTTAGCAGAAAAGCCAAGAACATTCTGAGCATCATAAAATCATTCTTTTGGGTCAGGGCTTTTTGCTGTTTTAGTTCTTTAATCTTTTAACTTCTCAACATGTTACAGTTTAGAAATGTCCATATGCTTAACTAATGGGAATAAGGAAATACAATGTCACAGAAAAGATACACAAACATGATCCTTTTCAATCATAGGTCTCTCTTTGGTAAGAAATAGACCACCATTTATTTACTTTCTCTCAGTGTAGGAGGAGATTAATGGTATTAACCTGGTAAGAAATCCCTGTGTATAAATGTTAGGAGAGGGTAAAGAGTTTAAGCCACACTCTTTGTGAAAAGAGTAGGTAACCGAGGATTTCCTCTTACTCGTAGCTATGATAGAGCAAAACCGTCTACTACAGAGCTGGACCAGGTTATTTCCTGTAACTAGAAAGTTATCCTATGAACGTTTTAGTCAACCTGAAGAAATTCTGCTATCTAATGATCTTTATCTTTAGATGTGAAACATGAATAATATGCTATTTTTTAAAAAAATGGTAAAGTATCTCCCTCCTTAGAATTCACCAATTTCTGATCTTGTTAAACTTTCATAGAATCCATGAAGAATTAAACAGGCTTATTCTAGATATTTTCTAAGTAAAATTGGAAATAACCATTTGCAATTCCAGAAAAAAAAAATCCAATACAATCTAATACACACAATTAGTAAACTCTACAGAACACATACTCTATCAAGCCTAAGCAATCCCCACCCACCCACCCAAAGAAAGCCAATCTAATCCTCCTTAAGATATTCGTTGTACCTGGATCCACATTAAAAGAACTGCTAATTCCACTGCAGTAGGAAAAATACTACAAATAAGCACCCAAAACTGACCTAACAATTTCTACTCACTCCTCCTTCCTCAGAATATTTTTTTTGAGAGAGAAAAATAAGCATTCCTTGTAATTTGACTGCAAAAATCATGACCTGCCATATTGTGTCTAAGCCTATACTAGATACCAACTAATTATGGAATGCCCAAATCACCAGGAACTCAACATTATTTTTTTTTTTTTTGCAAAGAAAGGTATATATAAAATTTCCTCCCCCTAGGCTAGCAACAGGGGAGAAAAAACACTTGAAAAATGGCTATATCTGTAGGTTTTTAAAAACCTTTAAAAATGGCTGTATCTGTAGGTTTTTAAAAACCAGCACCAAATGTTCACATTTAATTATTCTAAGCAACATTTAGGAATTAACATTCCCTAACATTATGAACAAACAAAAGAGTGAACAATAAGGGAATAACCTTGAAGCAATATTGCATGTTGGTAAGAACCATTCAGTCCAATAACCGGATCGGCTCATTTATAAAGCTGCTGTAGGTTTGCCCAGTTTGGAAATAGCACACCTCACCACCAGCTAATATACCTACTTCCCACATCATCGGTGCAGCTTATTTTATTTTATAACTAGGCAACATTAAATAAAGCAACTTGAAAATATAGTTTTAAAAAGGTAACTCAAAACAATCCATTATTAGAATGGTTATCTATGCTATTAAGGGGGAAAAACCAAAACATTAAAACCACTGCATAATGTGTCCAAAAAAACTGAAAGATTCACAAATAGTAGTAGTGTCAGTTCAAGACTACATAACCCTTTATTACATTATATTGTAGCAATATTATGATCAACATTATACAAGTTTTCTTATTTCTTCCTCATACTGCAGCAATTTTATTCCCATTGTGTAACAGATTTTAACTCTGCAAATTGTTTAAATCAACTTTTTGCACCTTGAATTTACAAACCACTGGATGTTAAGTTTCCTGAAAACTATTTTACTTTTAAGCTTTACTTAAAGGTAAAGCTAAAACTCAATTCTTAAAAAACAAACAAAAAAAAAACAACTAAGGTGCTTTAAATAGAACTTTGTAGAAATATACTGATACCAGTGTTTGAAAGATAACCTACACAGGGCTATAAAAGGGCAATTATCATACAAAAAACTTCTATGGCCAACTCTTGTTAGAAAATTTATTTTATAAATAAACTTCTTTCATGATAGAAGATGAAACCAAAAGATGGAGAGTTAATTTTTCCCTAAAAATAAATAGTTGCTCAGGACATAGGCTGAGTACACTGAAATCATATTGCTTCTTTGATAAAAGAAAAAATATTTTAGCCAGGCATTCCATTAACAAAAAGACCATGCCACCTTTCCTTAGTTTTTTGATCTCTGGGTACTAGTATTACCCAAGATAGCCTTATCAAAGAAGTTGGTTGGCAAACCTACCAAATAGGAATCTCAGGTCCCTTAATTTTGATAGTCATCTTAGTAAATATAAAACTTTAGCTACTTGAACAATGGAGCTTATAAAGTGCATTAAGTATAAGAAACACAACAGAAGTGCTAAACTCACTTAGTAGGACTTTAAGGGACTTGATGTCACCAATAGGGCAAAAAAACAACATTATAGTTTTCTGTTCAGATTTTATTTGAAATCTAATTCAAATTGTCAAAGCTACAAAAGGGGGGAAGACATCTGTATTATTTTTGCTAAGTCACAACATCCTAAAACAAAATACTACTACTGCCAGCAGATCCATTATACACATTTCTGATGAAATTCATTAGCACAATAAAAATTTCAATTTGAGAAACAGCCACAACAAAAGTAATTTATACAATATAAAACAAGGACAGGTCTACAGATGCAGTTACTCATGAGTTTACACATGCATTCACAAACAAACAAAAAATCCAGGAATGCTCTTTCATTTGATTTTTTGTTATTTTTTTTTTTTAAAAAAACAGACCATTCAGGCACAAAACAAAATTGCATTTCCAATAAGTGACAGCATCTTAAAAATTTATGTCAGTGTTTGTTTTTCTTTGACTTTTTATGAGACCTGTGTGGAGATCGGGACTGGGATCTGGATTTCTTCCCTGACTTTTTAGGAGATCTAGACCGTGATCGCCTAGACCTTTTAGGTGTCCTCGAACCAGATGGTGATCTGAGGAAACAAACAGAAACAATTTATCAAAGTACTCATATGATCAAAATGGACCATCCTTCAATTATCTAAAATAATCCTGAACAGAGCAAAATGAAAGTCAGAAATAAAAAAGGCTGTAAATTTCCCAAATTTATACTTTGCCTACTTTATACATATACACACACACAATTTTATACCTTCTGTGCACTGCATCAATCAGTGGTGTGCTTGCTTAAAAAAGACTCATTCCTGAGCCCTACCACTGCTCTATTTAATCAAAATCCCAAGAAGTAAGGACTGGGAATTTGCATTTTTAACAAACTCCATAGGTTATTGATAAACCCCGAAGTCCAAACCTCTTCTACAAGGTAAAGTTCAAAACGGCATCTAAGATCATTCACAAAATTTTTTTCAACACAACAGTGTTGCAGCCTATCTTCTTGAAGGAAAAAGCACCAACTACTACATATCTTTCAAGGGAATCTTTTAAGATACCATAATTCTGTTAAGTGCAGTTCATGAAGATTACCAAAACAAATAAATACGCTTTTTATATATGTGCAAGTGCCATTTAGAAAAGGAAAAACTTATCTTTCATAAAAATTTTACTAAAAATGGTCACAAAAATAAATTTTTAGGCTATAAAGCAGTTTTAGTTCTCAGGAAAATTCCAATATATAGCACCAAATGAATAAAACATTTCTTAACCACTTTTCTGGAACTACAAGGAAAAAAAAAAGTACATAACACACATTTAAATTACCCACTGAAGAAGGATATTTATTTCCACAAATCTCTACCGAACTTACTAATAAGATGCAGGGGCAGGAGGGAGGGCGTAATGTATTTTCCTTTCAACCTTGACAAAACCAAAGAATATTCTATAGAAACTGAAGAACAGAATGAAAAGTAAAGCAGCTCCCCCTAGTCCACAGAAAACACTGGATATAATGTTTAAAAATTCTTGGCTGGTCTTTACTTGTTGGAAGCCTTCTTGTGCTTTAGTCATGAGGAGACTAGGGTGGGGAGGTGGGAAGGAATAATCTAAAATGGAAGTGTACTTCTCTGGTTTTCTAAAGCCCTTTTAAAAAATGGCTGCCAGCCAAATTATTTTCAAAAGCTGGTAAAAATGACAAGGAAACTGGCATTTGAAATATTACAAAAAAATAACTTGCATTTACCTTTTGGCCTTTTTGCTAACATCTCTAGGAGAATCTTTGTGAGATGACCTGGATCGTGAGCTCTCTTTATGAGATCTTTCTGAACGCTCTGATCGCTCCGATTTGGGTGAAGGGGATTTCACTCGTCTACCACTGCTACTGCGAGATGGGCTAGGGGATGTGCTGTGTCGCCTCTTCCTAAGGAACAAAGCCCCCAAAATATTCCATAAGTGAGTAAAGGATCAGGAATTCATTTTCCTTCTACTGAATTAGCTATTAATTCCTATCAGTTTACACTAACTATTTTCACTAACCTTGTTAATGTTATTTTCCAACAACATTCAAAGCCCTTTATAAAGAACAAGAAAGTCTCAAAGACAGTTTGATCAAAACAAAAACTGAATTCAACTAAATTGGAGTTTCTTTTGCTATACAAGACTGGGACAATGGATAAAATTTCATTAAAGTCTCTGGTTAGATAATAGTATTTTTTTTTTAATGTTAATCCTCCAAACTTGAAACTTTTATTGTGGTTATGTAAGAAAATGGGGCATCATGTTGGCAAGTTGCTCTTAAATAACTGGGAGGAGGGAAAGGAAGGGAGAAAAATTTAAGCAAAAGTAGAACTATTTCAACATTTGTTGGAGAATGTGGGTGAAGGATATCTGGGAATTCTTTACATTATCTTTGTAACTTTTCTATAAATCTGAAAGTATATCAAAATAATAAAAACCAGACAAACAAGTGGTAAATTTAGCATTTAGCCAATCAGTATACTATTTTATTTGTGCTTTATTTTACAACAGTATTATAGTATAATAGTATTATAGTATTTTACAAATACTATGTTATTTGTAATCATCTATAGAGTAACTAAGCCAGAATTAATTTATTTGCATTCACTTGGATATTAGAAAAATCTCAGTTGACTAAAGCAATTTTCTCTATTAGAGAGATTTAGGAACTGTGAAAGTAAAATAAAAACAAAAGAGAAAATGATTTTGATTAGAATGAAGACAAAGTGAGGAGTGGGTCCCTATGGCCTATGTACACAAACTCCATTTAGACAGGACTGGGAGACTCAAGTTTACAAAGGTAGCAGCCTCAGCACAGCACAGAAGAAAAGCTTATACTAGAGGCAACAAGGAAGATGTAGCAAGCCTGTTTAGTTATTTAAACCTTAGGGTTGATACCTAATATGGTAACTGAATTCTTGCACTTAACTAAGGCTAAGGTACCATTTGAACCATGCAATGGGATTATGTCCTAATTAACCAAGCCACGTGCCAACTAACTGCCCCATTTCTCAGTTAATTCTGCCTCCTACAGGCAGGAGCCAAACATGTTTATCATGAAAAAAATACTTTTCAAGTTTGTTGGCATCAGTGATGAAAACATTACAAAATGAAACATCATCCCAGAACTTAATTTATTTGGGGAGCGGGGGGGGAGAGAAGGCACGTAGTAATGTCATTTACTTTTTTTCTTATGTTCAATTAGCCAACATATAGTATATATCTTTAGTTTTTGATGTAGTGTTCAAAAAGCAATACAGACATTAAATGAGAAATGTATACCTTTCTTTCCTTGTTGGAGTACATTCATCTTTTTCCTTCTTGTCTTTGGATCGAGATTCCAATTTTTCTTTATCCTTTTTATCTCTTTCTCGTTCTCTTTCTAATTCTTTCTCTTTCTCCTGTTTTATTTTTTTAAAGAAAGAATATTTAGTCATTAAAAAATACCAATCTGGGTTAATCTCATTTATGCAATAATGTTTTACTTTTTAAATCACTACTGAAGGTATAATGCCATTTTTTAAAAAAATACCTCCTCTTCCAGGAAAACTAGTTCTTTCTTCTACTTATGCTGACCAGTTACTGAGTCCCTACCATAGACCAAATAATTACTAAACAACTTTCCATATACCATTGCATGTAATACTTCAAAACATCCTTAGGAATATTACTAATATCTCATTCAAGAGATGAAAAAGGAGACTCAGGTTAAGTACCATTTCATAGTCACACTGGATGGTGAAGTCAGGATTTGAGTCCAAGCTCTAGAGCAGGGTTCTTAACTACTTCCTCTGTCCCTCCACTTAAAAAAAAAAAAGAAAAAGGAAAATGCCAACAATACACTGCCCCTTCTATCTTAAACTACAATAAAATAGTCAGTTGTGATTCTGTAACAAGTTGATTTAATCTAAGAGAGCTCTCTCCAAAGCAACAGGCTGAAAAGAAAAATAGTTATTCCCAATAATCGCCCTTCAGAAAATCTTATTAATAACAAGTACCACTTCTAATGGAAATTTTACATCCTAATTTATAAAAGTGCAAACTGACTACATGACTATACAATTATGTAGACCAGAAAGATGACCTATCTGCTTTTTCCCACTGCTACACTCGCCACTTCTCAGTTGAAATTATTTCTGTTGATAATATAATTAAGGGAGTGGCTACAGAAAATAAACCCATAAAGCCAACTTAGCTCTTCATTAATAGGAATTTAATTTCTCTATGATTTATATGCATCAAGAAAGCTACCTGGTTGCTGATAAACAGCCTATAGCAGATGCTGCAAACAGAAATACTCTTAACAACAACCAGATAGTAAATACTTTCTGCTCTGTGGGCCACATACATTTTCTGTCCCAGGATTCAACTCTCTCATAACAGTCCAAAAGCCACTATCGATAATACGTAAGTGAAGGCACATGGTTATGTTCTAATAAGCTTATTTAAAATGAGGTGATGGCCTGTGAGGTGATGAGTCTCCTGACCCCTGGTATATACCTTCAAGAAACACATCCTCCTCTCCAGTTACAACCATGAAATGCAAAGAGATTAAAATGATATTACATGCATTACAATCATCAGGACCAGTGAGTATCTCAAGGTTTAGTCTTCCATGCAGATCAAGCACCTGCCACCAACTCCAAAAAGACTCAGGGAGTACAGATACACCTTTTTAAAAATGTGATTTTTCTTTTTTTGAAATACAAGATTTAGAGTACAGATTTAAAAGTAATGCAGGGGATGCCATCTTCCTTTGGTGATCTGTAGGAACTATTTTCCTAATTGATAATTTTATAGGAATCAAACTAGGTAAAATACTTAAAATATTTTAAACAATTTAATCCTATAAAAGAGTAACATTAGCTATTATCTCACAATCCTACAAAATTGGGGCTATTGATCTAGTTTCACACAGAACAGCAGGCCTCAGCAACTTGCCTAGGAGCACAAAGTGAAGGCACACAGGGAAGGGGGGCACCAAGACCACACAGGTGTGTGCGGCACCAAAGCTATCTGACTACATTGCTGCTCCCATCACCATTACTCTGCCATCAATAGCTTTAGTGAGTCTAACTCTGTTCTAGCTTGTTCTTTTTTTTTTTTTTTTTTAAAGATTTTATTTATTTATTTGACAGAGAGATCACAAGTAGGGAGAGAGGCAGGCAGAGAGAGAGGAGGAAGCAGGCTCCCCGCCGAGCAGAGAGCCCGACGCGGGGCTCGATCCCAGGACTCTGAGATCATGACCTGAGCCGAAGGCAGCGGCTTAACCCACTGAGCCACCCAGGCGCCCCTCTAGCTTGTTCTTATTTCTCTCTCTCTTTAGTCTTTTTGCAATGATAGTCAAGATATAGGTAAAAATTAATAGTCCCAATAAAATTCCAGGGTTCTTTCAACAATTAACATGCGTTCTAAAATTCTCTATATATAGCCACATACTTTTTACGCATAAAGAATTCAAGGCTTGGGGCGCCTGGGTGGCTCAGTGGGTTAAAGCCTCTGCCTTCGGCTCGGGTCAAGATCCCAGGGTCCTGGGATCGAGCCCCACATCGGGCTCTCTGCTTAGCGGGGAGCCTGCTTCTTCCTCTCTCTCTCTCTGCCTGCCTCTCTGCCTACTGGTGATCTCTGTCAAATAAATAAATAAAATCTTAAAAAAAAAAAAAAAAAGAATTCAAGGCTTAGAATTCACTGATGAGGTATTCTAGTACTTGGTGTCCCTCTTTGGAAACAATGGAAAAGGAGTCCTAAATCAACTTCCCAAACTAATTCCATCTTTGTCTTTGTGCCACTGCTGAGGGTTGCTGGCATTTCACTGTCACAAACATTTAAGTTTCATAATATACAGTCTTCCAGTTTTAAAAGCATGCTCTTCGCAGATTTTCTAGTTCACAGGTAGCATATCCAGAATAATAAAGTAGGGTGCTGTTGCCCTGAGACTCTTTTCCAAGTTGAAATAATAGCAAAACATCAAATTTCAAATGTTCCTGTCTACCAGTATTCAGCATTTACACATGAAAGGATGTAATCTGAGATATACATTTCCTTAAATATACCAATATACCAATATCCTAGTAGTCAAACAAATAACTTTGGAAAATGCATATTATTGAATATACTTATTCCTTACTCGTTGAAGAAGTTTATCTCTGTAATGTTCTACTTGCTCCTGAAAGCTTTGGCCTGGTTTTTTAGGTCTTTTTCCAGATTCCAATTCATCCTGAAACTTCATAACTTTGAGCTGTGAAAGAAGATATTTTAAAAATAAATCTTTTCATCACTATAGTTTTTTAAGTAGTGCTTTACTTCTTAAAAAAATGTTTTTCCTTTGAAATAAGTGTGTAAAAAGAAAAAAACAGAAACACAGCACAAAGTAGTAACTGATTAGAACTCAGTCAAAAATATAACATCAACATAAAGCTCCCTTATCTGAAAGCCACTTGTTAGAGAGCTCAACCATGCAGAATTCAAGCGATCACATGTGGGCCCACATGCTCTCTATACAGCCACATGAGATGACTCAAAAACCCATGGACTACTATAGTTCATGCCCTTAAGAATCTACTTATTATCTCAGCACAATGATAATGAATTTGCTATCTGGCTCCCCAAATGTGAAAGGCAAGGCTGCTAAGCACAACCTACTTTCAACAAGATAGGACAGCAGGCACAACACAAGATACATAACCATTTTTTTTTAAAAACAGCATTCTTTACAGTTCATGTAGGACCAAACACAGAGCTGTAGAGTTTGAAGGTTTCACTCCATTTACAGTATAGTGCAATCACTGAACATCAAGACGTTAAGAAAAGGTTAAACCACAGTAGAAATATAGAGTACATACTAATAAAAAAAAGATTAGAAAACCTTCCAATTCTGTTTCTTGTCATTTATCCATATGAGCTCAAAACTATTTAATTCACCACTGTTTGCACATATATTATATATTTTGATTATTTTAATACATATTGTATGTTAATACATATTCTCTGTAGGTTCACTTATGTTACATATATAAATATATACTTTATTATCTGTTATATTAATATAAACATAATTATATAATACATATTATAAAAATATATATTTAAATTAGAATCTAAAGATATATATGCATCTTTACTGAACTAAGGGAGAACAAGTAAGATGAAATGCATGAGAACTCAGAGAATGTTGGAGGTGGACACAGAAAGCACATACAGATCCACTGAGTTATAGTGCCAAACCTGTCCACCTTGTTTCACTCAAAGAGGGGAAGAAAACACTCTTGTCTAACAGAATTATTGTATATGCAAACATCTTAACCTATTTTATTAAGCACTGATAGGTCCTTTAAATGGACTAAATGTTACTATAAATGTTTCATTTTTATTTGGAAACAAGACCTCATTTGTTTTAGGTCCCTGCCCCGCCCTCACTACAAATGAGGTTTCCAACAGAATGGCAACAAGTTACAAAAACTTTCTTCCATTCAAAGTGTTACTTTCACTATTTTTGACTTCATGAACATTTCTCATACATTTTCCAATTTTTGCCCTTCTTCTCCTTGCACTTCTATAATCAGGGTCATTTATAATCAGAGATTTGAAGTTCCTGCCTCTTTCAAAATGCTTAAAAAATCTTTCCATTTTGTTGTTTTAATGAGGACTACATTTTAAAACACAGAAGACATAAGGGTAAGAGAGAGGGGAAAGGGGGGAAGAAATGTAAATGTCTCACCTCACCACTGTGTGTAGCCTCCTATGACTAAAGTGACTCCGTTCTACAGAATGCATTTGCGGCAAATCAGTTCAAGAGTTAAGCACCCAAAGGTCAAACAGACCCCAGCGCTACTTTGGAGAATGAAAGGTATTCCTAAAAAATCTTTTTAAAAATCATTATAAAATCCTTATAGTACCCGCTCATGTGGCCTAACTCAGGAAAAACACAAGTCCAGGGCACCCAGAAAACAGGTGACAAAAGGTCCCAACTCAAACGAGAACAGCCCAGGTAATGGCTTGATTGCCAGCTAGCTATCTCCCTGTTGCCCTGGGACAGCAACAAGGATCACCTTCCAACTCAACTACCCACTTTTTCCTCTGGGACCAAGGCAAAAAAAGGTCTTTCTGCTCCAACAACAAAGAAGACACCCCCCCACACCACCAACCAACCCATTCGTTCCACACCTCCAACCTTGTTGGTAGAAGTGGGGATGCAAACAGAACAAGAAAAGACAACTCCAACATAGGTCAGGCTCTAAGCAGTTATCTGAAAGATTAAGAACTTCCTTCCAGCCAACACCAGTAATACTCTATGCCTGCATGTTTTCTAAGTGCTCTGTGAAGAATGTCAGTATTTTATAACACAAATTCTTTGGTTTTATTAATCCCATGCTAAAAAATGTTCAGCTATATAAGTGAAACCAGTCAAAGACAAATACCATATGTTTTCACTCATATGTGGAATCTAAGAAACAAAACAAATGAACAAAGCCAGGAGGAAGGGAGAGAGACGCAAACTAAGAAACAGACTCTTAACCACAGAGAACAAATTGACAAACCGACAGTTATCAGAGGGGAGGTGGAAGGGAGGGATGGGTGAAATAGGTGATGGGGATTAAGGAGTACACCTGTGATGAGCACCAGCTGGTTTGGCACTGCTGAATTACTGCACTGTATGCCTGAAACAAATATTACAGTGTGTGTTATCTAACTGGAATTTAAATAAAAACTTAAAAAATGTTCAGCTATAGACATCTTTATTACAATATATTTGAAAAGAAAAGAGTTTTCAAAAAAAACTACAATATATAATTTTGTTATAATATATAGTAATATAACAACATATAACACTATAATAATGACCATATATATATATATATATATATATATATATATATATATATATCCTTATTGAACTAAGGAAGGACATATAAGTTGAAAAGCATAAGAACTTAGAGGATGCTGGAGGTGGAGGTGGAAAGCACATAGAACCTGGATCAAATTTAGGGGCAGAAAAGAGGACAGGAATAAATCTCATGAGCCCTGAGTTCTAGTTCAAATTTGCCACCAGTTGTGAATCTTTATTCCATACAACTAAAGCTTAAACAATGGAGAAGAATTAGATAGCTCTAAAATGAAGCCAAGACCTAGATTTTAAAATTAGGGATGTGGCTCACAACTTAAATCTCAAAAGGGTAGTAAGTTGTGAGAAGTAGGCACTACATGAATAGGAGAAACAATGAGAGTATATAACAACGGAAAGGCCAGACAAGCAAAGAGCACAGGAAGTATAGAAATGGATGTATGTAACCACACACACACACACACACACACACACACACACACACACACACACATAAGTGTGTATATATATATCACAAACACACACACATACAGATACAGTGTGGAAATAATAATGTTCATAAAAACCATCCAAGTTACCAAAAAATAAATTATGTGGTTTTCTTCTCCAATTTAAGCCAATAAGGAAATAGAGTGTTTAAAAACTATCCAACAGTCAGTTTTGGCATTTAAAGGGGGTAACTTCACTATCAAGAAAATATATTTTTATTCAACCCCAGCAAGGCAGAGTTCAGTAAGGTTGGGAAGAGTTCTGAGAGTTAAGAAGGGGCATGTGCAAGTTGGAAAAAACCCACAGGTGGAATACATTCACTGATACATTTCTGCCCCTAAAAAATTTATAAGGAATGTATATAAATACATCCCAGGAAAAATGAATCAACATGTTAACTCTGAAAATCTCTCCTCTTCACTTATAATACAGTATACTGATTCCGTGTAAGGTTAAAACAAAATACTTTCCCTGTTAACATTCTGGCTTGGTGATATCCAAGAAAGAGTTTGGCAAAAACTTGTACCAGTGCAACAGTGATTAGAGAACTGGAAACAAGGAAACCACTATGGCAGATATTATAAAGTAGTAAGAGGAATAGTGCTGACACACAGTAGGCATGCGAGATACTGTTAGTTAAATTAACGGATAAAGAATTAAAAATACACTCTCATATACACTTCTGAGACTCGGCTGAGTGCTACACCAGCGTTTACTGGGAATGTTTCATCTCCCTGGGGCAAGGAATGAGGAAAGGTTCCCATTACAACACCCTTCCTTCTCTGATATTATGTCTGACCAGTTTTGGTAATAAAAAAGGCATTAAAAAAGGAGAGGGTATTGAGGGAGGGAAAAATCTGCTTGAGATTGTTCGGATTCATTGTCCTAAGTTTTCCCCCTTCTTACTGTTAAGTCCCACTTAATATCTACTCTCCCCACCACAGAAGGATGCAGATACTTAAAATGATCACGTAACTTGAATGTGCCAGAAAATCTCTCTTTTCCTTGTTACATACTATGTGCACTCAAACGTTATGGACTTCATAATGCCAAATGTAATGTACTCACTGGAAGAATCAGTATCTTAAAAGGATCTCCTCTGTGCCAGGCACTAGATTTATGATGATGAACAGACAAGCGCCACAGCCCTTTCCCCTCACGTAAATCACAGCCTCGTCGGGAATAGAGACATTAAACAAGCAAGCTAAGGAAATAAAATTAAATAAAACACATACCACAATACATGTAAAATCACAAGAGAAATAAATAGGGAGAAGTAAGCAAATGCTGAAGTGTAAAAAAAGGATAGCAGGAGAGAAGGGATGCTTGAACCAAGAGGCCTACAGTAAGTCAGGTGGTATGAAGGTTTCCAGGCACAGAGAACATAGTATACAAAGGAATGATGCCAAGAGGGAACCTAGGTCGGTGGAAAAGAGAAAGAAGGCCAGTGAAGCATAGTTTCAACCTCATTGCCATACTAACTTCAATTTCACGAAGTTTAGCTCGTTTTTCCTCACTCATTTCAGAGTACTTCGAGAACTTGGACTCAGTCATTTCTTCTTTGATTGGATTAGAGTACAAATGATGTTCTTCTGATTTGGAACTTTGAGTATCTTCTTCATCTTCACTTTCTTCTTCTTGACTGGAAATAAGCAGAATATATCATATGTCAAGGCAAGAAAAAAAAATGTTACATTTTACAGTCTGGCTTTTTTATTTTTCACTGTCTCAACCTGTAAATAATGTTAACAAAACGTAAGAGGCCAATTCATCACTAAAACATTTCTAGAAAATATTT